CAGGGAAGTCCCGGTCCCTGCACAAGAAAACGGAGGTGAAGAATTGGTTAAAGAGGTCCGCTTTATCCTCTGACGCAACCACCAGATTGCCCCGCATATCCTGCAGGGGCCCCACATTACCCGGCGCCTTCTTCATCCTCCCAATATATTTGAAAAAGGACTTTTTGTTATCCTTAATCCTGGACGCTAATCCGAGCTCTATCTCCGCCTTGGCCTTCCTAACAGCCCGCCTGCAGGCCCGAGCAGAGGAGGTATACTCCTCTTTGGAGATTACACCCCCCTTCCACCGGGCGTACGCCACCCTTTTGGCAAGCAGGCATTCCCGGACACCCTTGGTGAGCCAGGGGGGCTTTTGGACACTCCTGCCCGCCTTGCTTCTTGTCGGGATGGACACCCCTTGGGCCCCGAGTATCGTTTCCTTAAGGAACGACCACTCCTCTTGGACGCTGAGTTCCTCTGCCCTCAAGGACCCCAGTTCCTCTCCCACTAATCTCCTCATCTCACTGAAGTTGGCCCTCCTGAAGTCTAGGGCCACCACCTTGCTGCGGGCCCTTGACACTCTACGCTGGATGGTGAATTCCAGCACGCGATGATCACTATTGCCCAGGTGGTCAAGAACCTGGAGGCCTCTTACCAGGTCGTCGCCTGCGGCCAGGACCAGGTCCAGCAGAGCATCTCCTCTGGTGGGACTGTGCACCTCCTGAATCAAGTGGAGGTCCTGCAACTCGGCCAAGAACCTCCTGGAGCGGTCCGTCCCGGCTGACTGCTCCTCCCAGCAGATGTCCGGGTAATTAAAATCGCCCATGACAACTACATCCCTTGCTTTTAGTGTCTCCGCAAGCTGGCCTGAAAATTCCCTGTCCAGCTCCTCCTCCTGATTGGGGGGTCTGTAATAGACCCCCACCGTCAAATCCCTCTCGCCTTGCCCCCCCTGGATCTTGACCCAGAGCACTTCAGCTCGCCCTTCCCCTGACCCCATACTGCTGGCAGAGGATGTGTAGTGCTCCTTGACATAAAGTGCCACCCCCCCTCCCTTTTCTGCCTTCTCTATCCCGCCTGTACAGCCTATAGCCCCTAATGTTAACTGCCCAGTCATGGGACGAGTCCCACCACGTCTCTGTTAACCCTACGACATCTGGATGTGAACTAGCTATTCTGAGGGCGAGTTCCTCCTGTGTGTTCCCCATGCTACGAGCGCATTGGTGTACAGGCATTTAAGGCCTTGCAAAACCGTGTGCCCCCCCCCGATTAGGCAGACTCAACCTTTTGCTATGGGTCGGAGGTCTGGGCTGCCTCATGCAGCACCAGGCTCGGTCTGCTCCCGGACCCTCTGTGCAGTACCTCCTGCACTGAGCTCCCAGCCTTGTTCCAGGGGTCGAGGACCTGAGCCGCCCGAGCACTCCAAAGGTCCTACTCCATGCACCGGCCTGTGCACCGTGTCTCTGGCCACACTCCAGAGGTTGCAGACCCAAGACACCTCATGCAGCTCCCAGGGTCTGGACACTATGCTGCACACCGAGAGCCTAGCCGCTGGCGCCATCTGCCGTTCCCCACTGATGGAAGTCTTCAGGGGTGCTTCTGGGTTACTGCTTCACCCTGCTGAGCAGCTCTCCTCAGCTTTTCTAAGCCCCGCTCTTCTCTCTTCTCTCTCCCAGATGTGTTCCCTCGTGCTGGGCATACAGCTCCTTTTATACTCTCCAGGACTCCACCCCTGAAGTCTTCCAGACCTGAGTGTTGCAGTCTTCAATCAGGTCCGGGGGTGGAGGGAACTCCTCTCCCCCTCCCCTCAGGAAAGGGGCATGACTTAACTCCTCTTGCTGCCTCCTGATTGGTGGATGGGCTCCACCAATCAAAACAGCAAGATTTCAAGCCTGGGACTCAACCCAACCTCCAAAAGGCAAGCCTGCTACACTTGCATGCGATGCCAGTCTGGCATACACACAGCACACAGGGCTGACCTGGGAAGTACCCTGCACATAGGGCTGGTTTGGGGCTTGCACTGCATGTGGAACCTATACTGAAGCTTTAGAGCTTCGGTCACTGATTCAATTCAGAGGGGATTCACCCCAATTCAGTGGCTGAATCTCAGAATTGGAATCAAATCAGGAGGCCCATTAAAAGGTCCGAATCGAATCCAAAGCCTCCGAATTCAGAAAAGATTTGGAGATTCGGATCAGCCGGGGAGAGGCAGGCACAGCTGGGCGACTGCAGGTTCTCTTGCAGCTCCTCTGGCTCTGCCTGCCTCTCCCTAGGCAGGGGGAGCCATGGAAGAAGCCCCTATGGCTGTCCTACTCGGCCCCATCCTCTGCCCAGCTCCAGCTTAGTCCTGGCACTTAAAAGCCCCAAACTCACCAGCTCTGGCAGCGGTGATTAGGGCCTCTGGGCACTCATGGCAGAGTCCCCTGCACAGTGTGGGGCAGTGGGGGACAGCGGGGATCACCCCCCCCGCTTGTCAGCTGTGCAGCAGCTGCCCCATGGCACAGGTCCAGTGCAGTGCAGTGCGGCTTGGCAGGGTGCCAGGTGGGAGTGGGGGAGTGATCCCCACTGCCCCATGCTGCACGGGGAGTGGGAGCTGTATGGTGCGGGGCTCTGCCATGTGGTCCCAGAGCCCCCACAGCCACTGCTACTACCAGTGAGTGCAGATTTTTTTTTTTTTTTTTTTGATTCCCGGACTGCTGGGGCTGGGCAAGGGAGGTGGGGCTTTTTTTTTTTTTTTTTTAAGTGCCAGGATTAGGTGGGGGCTGGGCGGGGCGTACTAAATGTCTGTGCAGTTACTGCACTGTCAGGCACACATGTCGAGGCACCCTCCATCACAGCTGGAGGAGCCATGGGGGAACCTGCAGCCACCCGGCTGTGCCTGCCTCTCTGCAGCCAATCTGAATCGCCAATTCTGATTTGGCCGAATCAAATGGGGACAGTGATTCGAATTACCGAATCGAATCCCTGTCCTCCGAATTGGCCGAATCCTAATTGAATACTTCCCTATTTGCGCAGGCCTACTGAGCAGAACAAAGGAGTGCCAGGCAGAGACAGCCAAGCTAATTCTGAATGAGTTCACTTCAGTACTGGCAGCCCTAAACCAGAATTAGCTCTGCTGCACTGTGCAGTATAGATGTACCACATGTGAGAAATTTCATTTAGTCAAAGATTCAGTTTTCCATTCCAAAAGAAGTTGTACATTTTTTTATCAGCTCTAATATGTTTTATTGAAGACTGTGTGGGGGATCTGTATGTGAAATATATGTACTACATAGGAGGAAAAAGTGTCATAAATTACAGAACTATCAGTGTATGTGTGTACTTTTCATGACCATTTTGTCACTACACCTGCACTCTTGCTAATTAATCTAGCACCTTTATGGTTTATTCTAACAGCTCAAACCTGTATACTGATCCAAATGGCTTTCCACTTTTTGGAATGGGCCTGTTACAAAATGGTTCATGTTTCATCTAAATGTGGAAATTCCCCTTAAAAAAGTAAGCCTGTTGGAGGCCCAGCATGGGTGAGATTCAATCCAGA